TTTAATAGATTTTTAATAAATTTTTCTGAGACTTTATGTAACGGTGGGTTCTATATAAGTCAGTCCCAAGGCTTCGGGATCGTTGATCCCGAATTATTCTGACCTTTGGCCTGATTGTTGAGGTACTCAAATTCTAAAAATGCCATTTATACAGAATATAGTGTGGCCCGCTCACTTACCGGTTACATACTCCCTAAAGAACTATAGTAGTACACAGATACAGATCACTGCTAACAGGGAGACAACTAGAATATAATATCTAGCATATATAATTAAGTTTAAAGTCTTCTCATTGCTACCAGCAGCTTTGTTTCTTTTCTCTTTCGTGGATACTGAAGAGCTGGGATTCAATCACAAGACAAATACAACTATGCAGAAGTCCGGCCCGGACCACTAGTTAATATTGCCGAAAGCGGGACGTGATGTCGCGTCACAATAAATCTGCCGCATCTGGCCGCCTCACCGGTATCCAACGCCCTGCAGTTCCATACTTCTCACATCACACATAATATCGGATCAAAACCGAACTCTTGGGATGAACTGTCACATATGCTCTCGTGCTCCAACATCACGACTTAGATATCTTTGCCCTTCTTGTGCCCGCAATCAGCTCTATCAGCTCCGAATCGAAAATGCCAGGATTCTTCTAGAAAATGAGTCCTTGGGACAACAGATTAACAACGCAGTGTCCTCTACAAATACTCACGAAGCATCATTGGAACGGCCTGAATCCGGACTTCTGGGTCTCAGAGATGAGGACCACGTAGCCTGGTCTATCCAAATCATCGCCAATGAGAAAGCCAAATCCTCTTTGAGGAGAAAGCTACTTGAAAGTCGGACAGAAAACTTACGGCTGGAGATCAAAAACAAAAAGCGCAACATTTCCGAACATAAGCTTACGCTAGCGCAACGTCGCTCGGATGCAGGATCCGCAAAATATCAACTTGCGGAACGTGAAGCCGCCATCTTATCTGGCATTCATAACAATGCCAAAAGAACGGACCACTTGTGGCACTCATTACACAGTAAAACTGCTGAGGCTCGGATATTTCTATGCCGCGAAGCCGCCTACCTTTATAATCTACGGCAGAAAGTCAAAAAGAAAGATGGTGAAGTTAAAGAGGCATATACAGTCGGTGGCATACCTATCATAGATCTTAGGGACATGAATGGAAAGTTGCGATGTTTCATTTGTCAAATACTAAGCAAATATTAATGGAAATACAGGTGCTACACCGCTTCAAATCTCAACGTCATTCTCCTACATTGCTCAACTCCTAGTACTTGTTTCGCATTACTTATCCCTAAGGCTTCCTGCAGAGATCACACTTCCTCACCGGAATCATCCTGCGCCTACCATATACGCACCCTCTGGGTCTTATCTCTTTCGCGAAATGTTGCCCGCATCAAAAACGTTGCAGCCCTCGCCTTCTAGTTCAGCATCGTCACGAACAGCAGATCCGCGTCCTTACTTACCCCGAGCCCGACCACTCTCCGTTGACAGAAGTCTCCCAAAACTAGCCAAGGAGGACCCCGGGACCTACGCTCTCTTTATAGAGGGGGCGACGCTATTGGCTTGGAATATTTCATGGCTTTGCCGAACTCAAGGACTCCATATAACGTCAGATTCTTGGGAGGAGATTTGCAGCATTGGAAAACATATGTGGCAGCTACTTGTTGCGCCTCCCGCACAAACATCAACACTCGTTCGAGCATTCGCCGGTCGAGACATACAACCAAAGGTGAAGATTACGAAAGACTCACCCAAAACAATCATCCAGCGGACAAAGTCATTCCCAATGTTAGGCCACTACTCCCATGGTACTGTGCATTCTTTCCTCGCTGCTTCGGAGGGTACGGAGTTCACGCGTACATGGAGGCTTCCAACTCCGACTAAAGTTGCAGACAAATTAAAGTCAAGCTTATTAGGTGAAATGGCCAGTGCGGAATGGGAAGTTTTGGAGAAGAAGGAATGGGATAGCATACCTGAGGCGCCACTGCAACCTGTTCATGAATCCTCAGGGAATCGGAATGGTGAGAAGGGTGAATTAGATATGTCAAACATGGAACCATCGGAAAACATTCCTACTAGTCCAGGGTTTCCAAATGAGCCTATAAGCTCTAATCGGCTCAAAGGGACCAGTGGTTGGACTAAGCTGAGAAACAGGTAGTTTCTAGTAGTAAAGTCACCCGACCGCACATACACCAGAATGGGCTAGTATCGCTTTCCAGCAATGCAATTTCACGGAATTTTTTACTTAATTTTATTTCTAATTTTTCGTCTTTTACTAGAGTACTATAAACACATAGTATTTAAAGTGCTTTGAGGGGTAACCTGCGCTGAATAGTAACTAAGTAGTTAGTTAACTAGGTAGTGACACTAGTGACTGTTACTAAGCAAAAGGAAATTGATCGATAAGATAATATGAACTAATTTAACGCGTGTCCATTTTTATCTTCACGGCCTTCCGAAATACAACATGTCCTTCTCCCCAGCGTGGGAGCCCCGTCCACGTAACAAACCTCTACATGCTTCAACATTATCGTGAAACGGCGAATATTCCTTATATTTGTTTATTATCTAGTTCCTGTATCTCAAACTGTATGTTTAGTCGAAGAGCGACAACCTTTCAAAAATCGTGATTGATCAGCTGGAAATTTCAGAGCTTGACCTAGGTCATGGATCTGGTTTCAATCCAAGATTACATAAGGTCTACAGGAAAATGAATGAATTCACAAGGTGGCAGCGAGATGGATTGGGAAAATTTAGTGAGTTTTAGAGAAATACGATCAACAACCATTTCAAATACGCTTTCTATCTTCATGATTGGAAGCTTCACATGAAGGATCACCTTTACTGATCCAGAACTCTTATAGACCTCGAAAGCGCAGTTGAATTGAGTGCATATATACCTGATACAGTTCTGCGGGCGGAGCTACGCCGAAGAAGCGGAATCAGAGACTCTGACAATGATAAGCCATTGTGTGGCTCAAAGGATCGAGGTGTTTACAACACCCCAGTACATGTAATGGCACTTTTCCTCATTTTAGTGCTGAGTACCTTCGGTATGTTCATCTATCCATCAATTCGCGGCTGAGTGTTCTCTGATTTATCTCACGAAGCTTGTTCATTTCCTGTACTTGCCCGCCGGTTCCCACGCCTACCAATACCACGGCGCTTTCTTTTTCTTTCCAGACATTTTGGGACAGGTGTATTGATAGCTACGGCCTTCGTTCATTTACTCCCCACAGCGTTTGTGTCCCTGACAGATCCATGTCTTCCTCGATTTTGGAGTGAATCATACCGTGCCATGGCTGGTTTTGTCGCCATGATTTCCGTCTTTGTTGTGGTGGTGGTAGAGATGTTTTTTGCCATGAAAGGTGCAGGCCATGTTCATGGGAGTGAATATGACCATCTGATTAGTGATGTCGGTGAGGACACTGCAAACAACTATCAAAATGAGGGTTCCGAATATTTACAAGAGTCAACGGAGAATATTCACCTCGAGGGCATACCGAACGGCAACTATACACATAGCCTACCACAATCCTCCCGTCACCTGCTGAGTGACTCAACAGACGACGGTACTCTGTCACAGTCCGCGAGGTTAATTGCGCGCAAAGAGGATGTAGGGGTTGGTCTTGAGGGACCAGACTCTTATGATGACTCACGTACGGATGCGCATCAAAGCCCTTATCCGCACTCTGAGTTGGGTCAGCCTTCACCGGTTATATCGCGTGAACAGACGAACTCCATGCTGTCCATACAGAACCCGCAACGTCAGTTACTCCAGTGTCTTTTGCTTGAAGCGGGAATACTCTTTCATAGTATTTTTATTGGCATGGCCCTTAGTGTTGCAACAGGGACATCATTCGTTGTACTACTCGTGGCCATCTGCTTCCATCAGACTTTCGAGGGTTTCGCTCTTGGCTCACGCATTGCATCACTTATTCCGGGCCTTTTTGCCCCATCCTCCATGAAGCCATGGCTTATGTCACTTGCATATGGGACTACAACACCCTTCGGCCAAGCCATCGGTCTTATTTTACATAACCTATATGATCCAACGAGCACTACTGGTTTGCTTATGGTTGGTATTACGAATGCGATAAGCAGCGGGCTTCTGCTGTTCGCTGGGCTGGTTGAGCTTTTGGCCGAAGACTTTTTGAGTGAATCAAGTTACGCAACCTTACATGGTCGAAAGCGCGTTGAAGCATGTATAGCAGTTGCCTGCGGGGCTTTGTTAATGGCGTTAGTTGGTGCATTTGCCTAGAAAATTCCTAGTCCCTGTCTGCTTTCATTATGCTATATTAGTGTAAGCCCTGAAAGCTTGTATGTATACCTAATGCTTTATGTGATGATATCCCTTGCAATGTTTATTATTAGGCGCAAGTGCTCGCTGTAGCTCTTAGCATGCATATTATATATGCATTGCATGGTCGACGTTCTGTCTTTATATTTTGCTCGGTCCTTTGACCCTTTCTCTCCATTAAGGTGAAGAAGGTTCAGAGAGTAAATGAATTTATTCACGAGACAAATATCCATCTGAGTTAGCGACATCAGGTAAATATTATCATCGTTCCATTGTCAAGCCTACTATTATAGCTTATCAAGTATAGAGAGTTAGGTAGATTTTGACCAAGGTATATCCACCGTAGAAATATCGTATACTCCAGAGTAAAAATCAATTCAACCCGGTGAAAGAATCTCGAAATAAGCAGCATAACTCAATATCCACAGCATTCTGACGTTCTGAGTGGTTACCAATGATCCACCACTTTTCAAATCTACATAAGGTAGGTATTTCATGATTCAATAACAAGACAACCTACCTGAGCCGTAAGCTTAGAAGAGCCTCGACACAGATCACTAAGCTTATTATACCGCTAAACGCGAAGGGTTTCTTCTTCTTCTTCTTCTTTTTAAATTTAGATTGAGGATTCTTCGCCCCATATAGCAAAGCATTGCAATCAAAAGATGTCTATGTACTCCGAATTTTCCTTTCATGTGCTGCTGGTCTGAGTATTCCTATGCTCCATACCAAAACCATGGGGAACTCACCATGACTTAGACGAGAGATTCGACAACAATGGCGCTAGCACCACCTCCCCCATTGCAAATCCCAGCACAACCAATCTTACCATTTTTAGCTTTCAATACACCGAGCAATGTAGTCAAGATACGAGCACCACTGGCGCCGAGAGGATGGCCGATAGCCACTGCACCACCATGGATGTTGACTTTGTCTTCAGCCAACCCCAGGAGTTTCATATTGGCCAGAGCAACTACGCTGAACGCTTCGTTAATCTCAAACGCATCAACAGCATTCTGCGCCACACCTGCATGGGTGAGGGCCTTGGGAATCGCCAATGCTGGGGCAGTCGTGAATTTGCTCGGCTGCTGGGCGGCATCTCCCCAGCCAAGAATCTTCGCAACAGGCTTCAGGTTAAGCTCTTTCAGTTTAGCTTCTGAGACGAGGACAACAGCTGCAGCACCGTCGTTAAGAGGTGAGGAATTCGGGGCTGTCACCGTGCCGGATCCGGGGATAAATGCAGGCTTGATAGCTCGAAGCTTGTCTGGGTTGAGCTACACGACGAACATATTAGCAGTGGTCCACGATTTAACAAATTCGTAGAAAGTAATATCTTCCTCACATTCTTTGGTTCTTCGTCGTGTGCCACAGTCACACCTGGCTTGCCCCTAAAACCGGGAAGTTCAATAGGCGCAATTTCTTCATCAAAAAGGCCAGCCTTTTGAGCTGCCTGTGCCTTCTCGTAAGTGCGAATGGCATAGTCATCCTGTTGTGCTCTGCTAAAGCCATGATCCTGGGCACACTCTTCAGCTTGCAAGCCCATAAGTTCCTGCTTTCCTGCGTCTGTCAAGCCATCCTTCATGATGCCATCCACTAGACTCTGGTTGCCGTATTTCGCACCGGTGCGAAGGTTTGGAAGATAATGAGGGGCGTTAGACATAGATTCAGCACCACCTGCTACGACAATATCCGCATTGCCAGTCATGATAGTCTGCGCACCAAGAATAACCGCCTTCAAGCCAGACGCGCACACTTTGTTAACCGTGGTACACACAGTTGACTCATCGAGACCAGCGCCGAGAGCACACTGTCTAGCAGGATTTTGTCCAACACTGATCCATAGAACAAGAATGTAAGTGTGCCTTTGGTGCTGGTTACTAGGTATAAGAGTAGAGGTTGACTCACTTTGCGGAGATAACATTGCCGAAGAAGACCTCCTGGACATCAGACGACTTGATTCCATCCGCCCTGCTGAGCGCAGCTGAATTTCGACTTTGTTAGAACGTTGACACGTACTACCACTCGAGAGTTATCATACCCTTGATGGCATGGGACCCAAGCTGCGGGGCAGTGAGACTTGAAAGCGAGCTGTAGGAGAGGATAGCCAGTGAGTCAATGTTTTTAGTATAGACAAAGTACCAGGCCAATCTCACCCCAAGAATGAGCCCACTGGGGTACGGGCAGAGGAAACAATATAGACCGGGGGAAGAGAAGACATATTGGCCTGCGAGAGCTGATTAGAGGACTCAAACCAAAGCGTTTAAAGGGGTTCTGTGCGTGGTAAGTGGCATGTACCTGTGTTGACAAAATCTGCCGGCAATAGAGAAAATTGATTGGGGAGAGAAGGCAAAGAATGGGGGTAAAAAGAAAGAACTGATCTCTTCAGCTAAGGATGGCAGTGTGATATCTCTGATACAGGAACAAGGGGTGAGAAATTATGTCCTTTAAGGACCCCTCTCTGGACGCGGCATCCGCGCGGCGGGGTTATCAAAATGGTAAGGTGAATGCACGGACCACTCGGTGAGTCCATTGGACGGGACTTCCAGCAGCTTGAAACAAAAAGAGATGCGCCGGCTCACTTGGTGACAAGTTTTTGACAGCTTGAACCATCTTTTCCACAACACAATGGATGATCTCTATGATGAGTAAGTTGCATCAAATTTAACGCTCTAATTCTTTGAATTCTCATTAAGACCACATAGGTTTGGCAACTATATTGGAGAGGCTGCAGATTCAGATGAAGAGGACCAGCACGAAGAAGTGAAACCTCGAGCTTTCAACTTCGACGAGGCGTTTGGAGAGGAGGAAGATGAAGATACCTTTGAGCAGCAGTCCATGGAAGTGGACGGTGGGTACTCTCTTAAAGCCTCTGGGTTTGGCCAGCGCTGATAATATACCGTTACAGAAGGTCCATCAAACGCCGTAATTTTACATGAAGACAAACAGTACTACCCTAGCGCACAACAAGTCTACGGTACAGAGGTAGAAACCTTAGTTCAAGAAGAAGATACGCAACCTCTCTCCGAGCCTATTGTTGCCCCCGTACAGCAAAAGAAGTTTGCCATTGAAGAGACTGACCTCCCTCCGGTTCATTTCTCAAGAGAATTCATGACTGATCTTTTGAATTTCCCTGAACAAATAAGAAATGTTGCGCTTGTTGGTCATTTACATCATGGAAAGACCGCTTTCATGGATATGCTTGTAATGCAGACGCATGATTTGACTGAACGGCTAGAGAAGCGAGCAGGTAGGAGAAAGGAAGAACAGCTTCGCTATACCGATATCCACTTTCTAGAGAGGGAGCGAGGCCTCTCTATTAAATCAGCCCCTATGAGCCTAGTTCTTCAGGGCACTAAGGGGAAGTCTCATTTGTTCAACATTCTTGATACCCCGGGGCATGTGAATTTTGTGGATGAAGTAGCTGCCTCATCACGACTGGTTGATGGCGTGGTCATAGTCGTTGATATTGTGGAAGGAGTACAGTCGAATACTGAGCAAATCATTAAGCACGCTGTGTTAGAGGGCCTTCCCTTGACCATGGTTGTGAACAAAATGGATCGGCTGATCCTCGAACTGAAGATACCACCCAACGACGCCTATTTCAAGCTCAAGCATGTAATTGAAGAAGTCAACACTGTCATTGAAAATATCTTGCCTGGGCAAGGCGAACGATGGCGACTAAGCCCGGAAAAGGGCAATGTCGCATTTGCGTGCGCTTCAATGGGATGGTGTTTCACTCTTCAATCATTTGCCAGGATGTATGCGGAGAACTACCCGCAAATTGAGACCTCAGATTTTGCCCTGCGTCTTTGGGGCGATATCTTTTTCAATCCAACAAGTCGGAAATTCACGCGGAAAGGGGTCGAAGAACATTCTAAGAGAACTTTTGTCAAGTTTGTTCTTGAGCCAATATACAAGCTCTATTCCCACGCCATAAGTGAAAGTCCAGAAGACTTGAAACAAACACTCGCAAGTGTCGGCATCCACTTGAAGCCATCCCAATTGAAATCAGATGCAAAGGAGCTACTCAAACTGGTTTGCGGACAGTTCTTCGGTCCTGCTACAGGGTTTGTAGACATGATAGTACAACATGTACCTTCTCCAGTTGAGGGCGCGCAGATGAAGCTGGACCGATATTACACTGGACCCCTCGATTCGAAAGTGGCAGCCGCTATGGCCACTTGTAGTACAGATGGCCCTCTCGTTGTCCATATCACGAAACTTTTTACGAGCACAGACGCTTCAAGTTTCAATGCATTTGGAAGAATTATGAGCGGGACTGCTCATCCTGGACAACAAGTTCGAGTGCTAGGTGAGGGTTATACTCCTGAAGACGAAGAAGATATGGTGACTGCAACTATATCGGACATTTGGATTGCTGAGACTGGCTATAACGTCACGACCAGCGGTGTTCCGGCCGGCAACTTGGTTCTCTTGGGTGGCGTGGATAATTCAATCGTGAAGACAGCGACTATCGTGCCTCTGAAGCTTGAGGATGACGAAGAAGCATACATATTTAAACCAATTCGACATATGACCGAGTCTGTTTTCAAGGTCGCTGTTGAACCTGTTAACCCGTCTGAATTACCAAAAATGCTTGATGGTCTCCGTAAAGTCAACAAGAGCTATCCTCTAATTTCAACAAAAGTCGAGGAGTCTGGGGAGCATGTCATCTTGGGGACCGGTGAGCTCTATATGGACTGCGTGCTTCATGACTTGCGGCGGCTCTTCTCCGAGATGGAAATTAAGGTCTCCGATCCTGTCACCCGCTTCTGTGAAACTGCTGTTGAGACTTCAGCCATTATGTGTTATTCTATCACACCAAACAAAAAGAATAAGATAACCATGATAGCAGAACCTTTGGACGACGGAATCGCTGAGGACATCGAGAGCGGCAAAGTCAGCATCAAAGACCCAATTCGCAAAGTGGCTCGTTTTTTCGAAGACAAGTACGATTGGGA